TTTTCTCCAAAAATATAATCCTTTTTCGACCAAAAAGTCCTAGTCTGACTCTGCATGCATGTGTCTTTGATATGCGGCAGCGGGATGTGACGTGTGATGCATGCTCAGTAAGGTTTTTTTGGTGAAATCAAAATCTGTCAAGCTAATTTGGTCGTGGTCTGTGTGCATGCAAGGGTCACTCCTCTACTTCATCACTACAACCAAATACAAGAGTGTACCTCATAAGTAAAATCTTTTTCTTCTTCGTTCCAATGTGAGATGAAGGTGAAAATACACACTAATTATAACAATTGTCTTTTAAGGGTTTGACTGCTAACATCGAGAGATTTTGGATATCGAATCTATGAGTCAAAGGAAAAGGGAAGGAAAAAGTGAAAAAAAATTAACTTCAGTTCATTCACTTTTCCCCTTCATTTTCCTTTCCGTCCACAAATCCAATATCCAAACACAGTTTAAAAAGCCCTTCCGATTCTTTACATTGTAAGGATCTTGATTTTTCTTATCCAAAAAGATCTTCAAAATTCTTTACAAGCAAATGTCGCAACTTGTTTCAGCTGATCGACCCGTTATTCAAAAACATGTACCAAAATCTATGTTAGACTATAAATATTTTCTCTTCCAATAGTAAACAAAACTTGAATTCCTCCTGGCTAAAAAATTATGTGGCCTGACAGGTATTTTGCAACCAAACATCAATCCTTAATCCATTTCCTAGCCTATCCACACAAGGGTGTTCATCAAGGGACTTTCACCTAATCTCTATGAGTCATTCTCGATTAGGCACTGACTATTGATTCAGTTCTTCATAAAACATCCATGACCAACTAGATATTTCCAATTTGGATTTCAATAGTTAACCTAGTTTAACAGTTCCAGCAGATGATGGAGCCAGTGAACTCTGCCAAAGCCCAGAAAGCATGCCCAAATTTCAAATAGAATTCAACTGAGAAAATGGACATGAAAACACTACAGAATCTATATAAACAAAAATATCAATGCAATGAAGCTTTTGCCTTCAAATGTGAGAGAATTTCAAATTTATAATATCCTGATGGCATTCTCTCTCTCTCTCTCTCTCTCTCCCTCCCTCAATGGATGAAAGGAAAAGAAAGAAAATTTGTACATAGAAATGTTAATTAATGCTTTACAAAATTGTATCATCTAACATATCCTAGCATTTCTTCTGTCATCACTGCTGGAAAAATGACTTTTGGCGGCGTTTTTAAAACGCCGCTATATGTATGAAAAACGCCGCTAATTCCTTTAGTGACGCTTATCACCAAACGTCGAGGACGCGGCCGTCGCTATAAGTTTATGACGCTTTAAAAACGTCGTAAAATTAGTATAGGCAGCGTTTTAAAAACGCCGCTAAATGTGATAAATAATGATAAAATGACGTCATCCAATATTTAGCGACGTTTTTAAAACGCCGTGATAGATTTTTTTATTTTAAAAAAATGTCCGTTGGCACTGTAGTGGCATTTTGAAAAAACGCTGTTATAGCTCTTTTTTTAAAAAAAAAATTGTTCTGAATCTGTTATATTTAACTAAAAAACATACCTGTAATAAAGCTGAAAAATAACAATAATATGAATAAAATTTTACAGCTACTTCAATATATTGACTAAATAAACATTACATGATTGTGTCTGAACCAAAATCAAACAACAAACACAATCAAAAAATAAAAACAAAAAATAGGTTAAGTCATTTGCTTGCACATGCAGATGCAATGGAATAGTCAAGCATATTACACATCATTACACTGCAGAATAGGGATTCGTATTCAATTAATCATAATAGGTTCATGTACAACAAAGACAATTTTGAGTAGGATACATTCCCAAATCCCAGTCAACACAAAGGAATGCAGAGAGCCCGGTGAACAGTGGCGCTGACACCTTCTCCAACTTCTTCATATAATTTGTAATTTTCTGCATTGAAAGGAAATTTGTTCTCTGACACCTGTTCCATGGTTTCCTTTTATACCACAACATTAATACCCTCTTTTCTCCATATGTAACTCATTTAGAGTGTTATGTGGTTTCTCATTTGTCAACATTAAGTAATTCCATAAATTACTCTAGAATGACTTTAATAATTTTCCTTTATCGATAGGTATGCCATTCTCAATGGTGCCAGGAATTGCTGCAAAAAACTTTGTCACTAAAGATAAGACAATTTGAAAAACTAAGGGTAAATGTGATTCATGATTGCAACCACACAATAGATCTGATCTATTTCATGATTGCAACCACACAATAGATGCTAAAAAATTCATGATTGCAACCACACAATAGATCTGATCTATTTCATGATTGCAACCACACAATAGATCTGATCTATTTCATGATTGCAACCACACAATAGATCTGATCTATTTCATGATTGCAACCACACAATAGATCTGATCTATTTCATGATTGCAACCACACAATAGATGCTAAAAAAATTCATAACAATGCCTGAGGTGGCTTACGAAAATTTTCATAACAATGCCCGCAGTGGCTTAGAAATACGACATATCAAATATCAAATCAAACCTGATAGAAGGCCAAGCATTGAAGCACGAATTTTTCCATGGAGTCCAGTGTATGCAACTATAAAACAACAGTGTATGCAAGTAAGAGAAATTAAAAAAAGTATTCATGTGTGTGAATTACATTATTAAATAGAGAAGTCAAAAAGTCTTGTGGGTTGAGAGAAGTTAATAATTTTTGTTTAATATATAAATTATTTGTTTTTGAAAAGGTACTGCAGTAATTATAAGAGAAGTCAAAAAGTCTTGTGGGTTGAGAATGTTGAGGTTAATTTTTTTTTTTTAAAAAAAAAAAAAAAACTTAGAAAATTAAATGACAATTAAAGTGCTGTGTTTTGTTAATCAAAAAGTATGGGGGAGATAGGAACAGAAAGATATTACCGTGTGGGGAAAAAACAAAAAAGGTAGATAGAAAAGAAGAAAAAGAGAGAAAATTACTCAGTTGATCACGAAAGTAAAAGAGAACTGCTAAAGTAACTACCTTGTATGATGTTTTTTGCTTTGTACAATATATCAAGAAAATGTGAAGCAACACTAGTCTACAATACACTGTTAATTTTACTTCAAGAAAATTCCTTTTTCAAAAGATTTTCTATCAAAATACAAAGATTTCTATCAGAATGAAATAAATGGAAAATGAGAAACAATGATTTATATGGATGATAAAATCAAAACCGGGAGAGAATTCTAAGAAAAGTCATCAAATCTTCGCATAAATCTTCACAAAGGAATATTAATTACATATATATATATATTATTTTTTCTCTGAAACCCTACTTCAATTTTGTGAACTCACAAAACAACAAAAAGAAGAAGAAGAAGAAGAAGAAGAAGAAATAAACAAATAAAAATATAGGAAGAAAAAAAAAAGAACATAAAAATTCTACAACAATATCAAACTTGATGCATTTCTAAATATATAATGAAGTCTCTCTCATGGACAGATCAGAATGTGTATGTTTAAATGAAGACCAGATTCAGAAGGGGGGAAATGGGCACTGTTCTTCATCATAAAGAAGTTTGTGTATGTGTTGTGTGTTTGTGTGTGGTTGGAGACGAGATGACTAACCAGTGACTAATGCAGTGGTTGCAACTCAATTCCATATTACTTCATTCCCTGAACTACAATAGTGAGTGATATGCCCATGATTTTGACATTTTGATCCTTAAATACTAATGTAAACCTTCAAAACAAGCAGTTCTTTTTCCTTATGATAATCCCCCAAGCAGATGGTATATATATTGAAGGCCACATGATGTCGGATTGAAAATTCATCCAATTTTGCACATAAAAAATGTAATTAGCAACTCCCATATAAGCTGTCATGTGAATTTCAGTGTAAGATAAGATAGAGGACATCTTAACATGTCTTGCTGGAAAAAGAATAAAAAATAAAAAATCATTTGTATATTACTTGTAAAAACCTTAATCCCCAAGATTGCATACTTACTACATTCCACAAAATTAAAAATTATGCACAACAGAATTTTAAAAACATATAGTCATGTTGTATGGTAAACCCCACACATACCTACAACACAAACAAGCTATTTAAAAGCAGAGCAGGTTAGGAACAAAAGCCTAACATTTAAATGTGTACTAGGCAGGGCCCTAGTAGGCTGGAGAAGGAGCTGACAGGGCTAGGAGGGCTGTCAGCAAGCCCTAGGAAACTGAACAGGGGGCCAACAAGCCTGGGAAGTGCCGAAAGAAGGGTTTTCTAGGTATAGAAGGGTATGGGTGATGATGGGTAGCCGCCGGAGTGATGGGTGATGATGTGGTGAAGCTGTGGTGGTGTCGGGTGGTGGTTTAGGAGCCTCCTTACTCTGATACCATGTTTGTTAGGAGAAAACAAACTTCGGGAATGATGAGACAATCATTCCCTTTTTATTGATAATATGTAGCTTACAATGGAAGCCTTGAGGCACAAATAAGGAAAAATACATAATAAAGAAATAACAACTAATGACAACAAAATAGAATAAGCAATACATAATAACCAATATATTATTCTAACCCGAATTAGGTGACTTAGTGTTAGTCATCTTCTCAAATTAATTTGTTCACCATTTGACAATTATAGAGCACATCTTGACACTTCATGAAAACTTGCTCTAGTCTATTTTTATCCGAAATAACAATATAGAAATCCTGATGATACACTTAGGCCCCGTTTGGAGACTTACTTTTTTAGCCAAAAAGCCAAAAAGTTACCTTTAGCTGGTACATTATGAGCACTGTAGAGATGCACCAATTATACATGTGTAAGTACATGTAGTGTGAGCACTCTTCATACAAGACTTAGTGGGAAAAAAAAAAATGACGACATATTCAGGGAACTCAGAAGAGTAATAGCAGTGTGTCAAGCATTACCTGGTGCTGGTGTATAATGCGAATCATAAGCATTAGTCCAATTGCATCAAAACAATTTGGAAGGATTGAATTAAAGTGTTCATCAATTACCACAAATGGACCTGATGGCATCAAACTAAAAGCAAATGTTAAACTGACATCATGGAACCAAATATTTCCTACAATGATAAAATATGATAACTCCAAATCATTGTTCTTTGGCAAGAAAATCATTTTTAGGGTCCAAATTTCGGAGGCAAAAAAAGTTTTCTGTTGTCATTGCAGAATGACTAGAAATTTCAAGAACAGTATATTGGCAGAAGATCTTCGTACAAGGAAATGGTTTCTTGCCCAAGAGGTGTATACAAGAAGATTTTTAAAGAATGTAACAATTTGGATCCAATAAGATTCATCTCATACAAAGCCAGCCACTTATAAGACTTCCATTTTTATCTACACTAGAGAAAATGGTTTATACCATACACCAGTACCTGCAAATATTTCATAAAATATAGATTCTTTCCCAAAGAAATCATCACAGAAAAGATACCTGTATAATGAGAAAAACAAAACGTCAATATGCATTTCTCTTGTGCACTAAAACTTAAAATTACTGTCACAGTGGTGAATACAGTATTGACTAGCATTTAAATACAATATCAAGTACACAGAGAACTAGAGTGTACTCAGAACTAGCAGTATCCATAAGCAGCTTGTGCAAGCTCCTAAATAAGACTTCATAAGGATACTTGCGGGAGCTGGCTTCAGCTATATGTGGAATCAATGCAGGTTCATCAATTTCCTGAAATAGTAAATATTCAACAATGAAACCTATTTCTCTAGAAAAATAAATATATAATAAAATATATACAATACATAAATAAAAATAAAAACATTTAGTACACAATCCAGTCTTCAAAATTCTAAATCACAGTTGTAAGAGAACTTATTCTTTTCAAAGAAAAAAAAAACACATGTTAGTATTACTGTAACAAGATACCAAACAAAAAGGACTAACCTATTAAAAAATTCATAACATATTTCCAAAAATCTAAAAATACATATTCTTATGTGGCAAGGTTTGCCAATGATGGTTCATTAAGATATGCACGGACGTATATCAGCAATACTCTCATATTTCCATATCCTTCTCTTTACTATCTCTCTTCTAAATTATTTTCCTTTTTCCCTTTTATAGATAAATAAAATGTTACAGAAAAGAGAAGAAAAAAATAATCAAAGAGAATTCCTTGCCAGAAACTAAGGGAGTTAAAGCCAAAAAGAAAAACAGCTTAAAAATGAAAAGAGTGCAGACCAACAAAGGGAGACCTACAATCCACAAGCTACTTACCTGTACTACTCCAATGCCAGCCCCCTCCCGTTTTTTCTCGAAAACTATTTGTTGAGAAAGCCATCCCTCAAATTAACTTCTGCTAAATCCCATGTTAGGAAAAATGTCTAGTTAACCAATCATTTTTGTGATGGTAATTTCAGTCCAAAATTGAATCTGTAATTTTATTTTATTTCTTAGGCTTAGTTGAGTCTTGAAAATGTTCCGTAGTCATGCATCATCAAGACAACTTCAAATTCAAGCCTTAATCATACGAACAGACTCAGCTTCAGTGAAAAGGCAAAACTCATTATGCAGCATTAGCAGCATTTAATGAGTTTTATCTTTGTTAAGGTTTTTGGTTGGTGTATTTTAAGTGAATGACCAACCATAGCTAATTTAGTTTTGGACTATTAAAGAAACCATAAACTTAATTTTTAGGCTTATGTTATTTTTGTGTGCAAAGCAATTTGAAAGCAGATGGAAAATTAATTACTTTTATTTCCTATTATTCACTGAGAACGTAGGACCCATGAATTCATTACCAAAACATACTTGAGAGCCATGCAATCCATTGACCATAGCCTTAAGACTAGCCTTGTTGCAATTGAAGATTGGGTGGCTTAGCTGACTTGTGTATGACTTGGTCGTACATATTATTAAAGACTTGGAGTCCATGAGGCACTTGAAATTAGAATTGGGAACATTATGAATGAACAAAATCGTGAAATAGTAGAAGTGGCACCAATTGGAGATAAGAAGCTTTGGTCATGTACAACAAAGACCTATAGATTTTGTTGCGACAATGAGTGCCTGTGTCATATTTTGTTGGAGTAGCACATTCTCATTGTTGACAAAACAGGATGGGACACAAGCACGCTCTCATTGTTGCAACAAAGCCCTATAGGTTAACCTGAACAGAATTAAGCTGCCTATGTCCCATTCATGTACAACAAAGACATAGAGATTTTGGAAAGACTTGAGAGATCTTTATATAATCCATGTTTTTTTCTTATATTTTGTGAAGGTTCACAACAATTGGGTTCATTTTTGTGATTTCTAGATCTTGTGAGTGTGGATTGCATCCATATAGATTTATGTTGCACAATCATTACTGAGGTTAGCACACTTAATAGAAAGGATACCCTGAAATCTGACTCATTTATACAGTGCTACATCCACCATAATTTAGCTTAAAAAAATCTTTTGAGCACGGCCATCTGAGAATAAGAACCCACTCTAGCCAGACAACAAGAAGAGACAAAGGATACCCCTGAAATCTGATTCATTTACACAGTGCTACATGGAAAACCAGTTAAGAACTCGGCAAATGAAGCTCTCCCTTGTTGAGACCAGGGACAGAATCCTACCTAACAAGGTTGCCTTCCACATCTAACCAAGACTACTCAAATAGCAAACAGATCTTCACAACACAGTGAAGTTGATGTTATTATGTAATCATACCATCTAAATAAAAGCGTTCCTTAAGTTTTTGTGTGTGTCACACACACACAAGAAACCTGCTCCTTTAAGAGACCTTTCTATCAACAACAAAAACAAAAAAGTGCATACTACTTGTTATCTCTTTGTGCTTTTCCTAATATATTAGCAATAGAGACAGAAATTTGAAGGACTAAAAAGAAAGTAGACCAAAAGGTTGGCATATAGATCGGAACCCAGAGCGATAAGAACGAAAGCCCTACCCGCAGCTACAACTACTGGCGCTTCAGACGGCTTAGATTCTAAAGGCGCTACTAAAAGCCCTTTTTTAGACCGTGCAATAGGGAGGTGTAAGCCCCAAAAGCCTTTGGTACTTCGGTAGGGCGAGCAGCCCTTAAACCAAAAAAGGGGTTTGGAACCCTTCCCTTGAATCTGCATTTCATTCTCTATTTGGCCCGCTTCAAAGAAAAGGAGAAAAAGGTCGATCAATAGCATAGCTCTTTCTTTCCCCAGTCTCATTTCGAAGGAAAGTCCTTCGCATTCCTAATCCAGTAGGCCAGACGACTTTCTTTGCCCCAGTTTAGCGAATCACATCCCCCCGCAATGACATTGTTTGTGCGCCCCTTACCGTTCTCACTCAATGTAACATCCCAAATAATGCCACGTACCACAACTATATCATTATCCATCTTTGAACACCTTAGGTCAAATTAACTATTCCATTGACTATCTCATTACACAAAATACCCTAATTTAATTACCTTACAATACTCTAGAGATAGAAATATGAACTGCTAAGATGAAACCTTAGAGGATGTTTACAATTGGCCAGAAATTCAAAAGTGAAAAACATGCCTTGATAAAATAAACTTAAAAAGAGATATACTTGAAGATTACTAAGAGTCAGGGAATAACTTAAGTTTAAGATTTGGGAATGCTAGGATGTGTCTGCGCACTAATTGAGGAGCTTCAAGATCTTAGACTAATGTGCTTGTCATTTTCATACTGAATGTTATTTTGCTAATTAGGATTAGTACTAAGTAAGATTAATGAGCTTTAATCAAGATTAATTAAGCTAAGCAAGATTAAGTTTAACTTAATTAATTGGTGCTAACCTTGATTAACTAAGCCAAGTAAGTGAGATTAGGTAAATTAGTGAAGCACACAAGTAGGTGAAGCATGCACACACTTCCCTTTTGTCTTAATCAACTTTTGTCTCACCTTTTGGATAAAACCAAATCAAGATAAATTTGAGGGGAAGAAAATCTGCTGAAGATAAATCAACTAGAAGAAAGGAGAAAGAATGAGAAAAAGAAGAAGGCTTGAAGACCAAACTTAGAATTCATCCTTGAATCATCCCAAGGTAAAATTTGAACCCTAATTCTTGTAGAAATCACTCCTATCATCTAAGATTGAGAAGAAGTTAGGATTAATTTGAGTTAGTAATGAAGAAATGAAGAAAAGAATGAAAAGGAACTGAATAGGTTCAAGAATAAACTAGGTGATGAGAATTCTTGTTATATTGACCATGATTTTGATGTTCTAATTGCATAGAAAGCAAAACCCTCATGTTCTCTCATGATTTTCAAGAGTTTTGGCAAGGTTAAACTCGTATTTTGGAACAAACAAGAAAAAGGTTGGAAAAGAAAATAGGTTTTGAAGATTTGTTATGAAAATCATGTTTTGATTCGGTTTGAATCTTGAATTCTTGCATACAAATGTTTTTTCATGGATTTCCTACCATTAATTTATGTTTTGAGACTTGAACTATGATGATTTGAAGCTTTGGGTGGAAGAAATGGATGAAAAACACAAAGAACACGCACTCGTTTTGCCTGCTTGAAACCGCTCGTGCAGCCAAAAATTCTGCACGAGCAGATTGAAATTACACTGTCAATGATAGTCACTGCCTGAATCCACCCGAGAGGATTTTCTAGGCTTAACAAATCCGCCCAAGCGGATTTGCCAGCACATTTACCCAATTTCATCCTTTTCGCTAGTTTTGATGCACCGGACCTCATTATACTCTTTTGAGACCTAAAATAGGATTGCATAAGGCTTAGAAACCGACTTAAAGTAAGAGTAGTTAAGAAAGAAAAATCGAAGTTAAGTTGACACATTCGTTTCGCATTTGGTTTAACAATCTTTATATGCTTGTTTGTGTAGGTCAAACACTTTTGAAGGAAACCCTTGTTCAAGAGCCATTTGTGAGTAGTAATAAAGTTATGTTTGATAAATCATGATTTAAATGCAAAACCTATTCTATGTTCATGAAAGCTATACTATTGTTTTGCTATGAATAAACATCATATACTCTTGTATCATGTATGAAGATGACACCCTTAGAATATGTTCTTGTCATTGGGAAATCATGCCTGTTAGAATTTCCCATCTTTACCTTCACCTACTCCACTACACACTCCACTTCACCTACCTCCACTTCACCACACACTCCACTTCACCTAACCCACTATCACCTCCACTACACCTACTACCACATTTTCTTCTATATATAGATTGTATAGGAATTGTAATTAATAAATCTTGTAAGACATCAATCAATAATATACATCAATTTATTTTTTTCATCAGAGTCCATTGATTTGATTCAGGATCCAGAGTTTTTTATGCTCTTTTCTTAAATGAATGTGTTGTCTTGAAAATGCCTTGGACCTTAGTTGCATGAAGTGGGAACGGGGGCAAGGGCAAGAGGGTGTAAGAATTTTGGAAGAACTTGTATATTCAATTATGTATAATATAAAGTGTACAATCGAGTTATATAGACCTAATCTAAAAAAGGAAATAAGAATAAACCTATATTCTTACAATCAATCTAATATATTTACATAATTAACATAATATTCTCACACTCTCGCTCAAACTCAATGTATTTTAGCAGAAAATACTAAGAGTTTGTCAAGAAGAAACTGAAAAC